ATAAATTTTATGTAATTACTTATATAAATTTCTTAATAAAGATATGAGCAAGGCCTCACCTTAAAAAAAAAAAAAAATAAAAAAATAATTAATATATATTATTATAAAACTTTATATTTAATTACTTACTTATTTAAAGCACAAAAATGCTGAAGATCATCATACAAAATTGTTGAACATTGAATTGTATTTATGAAATTTTGAACTTTTTCAATTATTGTAGTTTCTAGCTACATACCATGATTAACAGCAATATTCAAAATATGTGCAGCACATCTATAATGACTAAACTCAATTTCTCTCCATTCTTTTTCTAATAGATTTCCACATAAAATCATTGCTGAATAGTTGTCTGTAGTTAATACAATAACTTTATTACTAATATTTATATTTTTACAAAGTTCAATTAGCTTTTCTTTTGTATATACTGCAGTATGATTAGACTCAAAATGAATTAAATCAAGTAAAAATCATTTTATTTTCCATTTAATATCAATAAAGTATATTGTAACACCAAAATAGGATTGATTTGCTGATGAGGTCCAAATATCTGCAGTAAGTGCTACTTTTTATCTAAGTTATAAAGTTATTTAGCAACAAGTGATGTTTGAATTTCATATTGTAACATTATTTTATCTTTTATATGTTGATGATTTGGTGAAATATATCTGGTCAAAATATTAAAAATATATTAAAAACTAAAAAAAGATTATTTAGTAAAATTTAAACATACTAGCATTTCTAATATCTTGAATCAAGTGTATTTGTTATTTTATGAAACCATCGACTCTCAGCAATATTAAATGAAATTTGGTCACTAACAAAAAAATTCAATATAGAATTTTCACATTCTTCTATACATATGATATCATCTTTATTATAAGGACTTTGATCTGAAGATAAGTATCTTCTTGATTTTAAAATAATACCATGATTATGCTTATTATTTAAATGCTCAGCTAAAACTCCTGTTGATGTATTAATACTATATTTCTGTGGACATTCATTGCACACTACTATAGAATCACCATTCTTATCTTTTTCTTCATGCATAAACTTCCATACAATGGACTTTTTATTGCTCTTTATATCTTCTTTAGATGTTGAAGATGTTGAGGTAGTAACACTATCACGATCAAAGCCTTCTTCAGAAGAATCAACATTATCAGGATCCATATATAATATTTTTGATTTTGTATTTTAATAGATTACATTTGCTATATTTATATATTTTAGCCTAGATCAATAAATTTCAATTCTATCGATCAATATTTTTGACTCAATAATAATTTAACTCGAACAATATATTTAGCTCGAATGATATTTTAACTCGATTAATAATTTTTTTATATACAAACCAAAATTTTATAATTACAAGCTGAGTTTTGAAAGCATAATGTAAAATTTTACAGTATTTAGATTAATAAGAATTATTTCTTTACTTTAGTGAAACTAGTATGTAAATAAATATACATAATTTATTTATAAAAGAATAATATTGAGCAGCATTTTCAAAAAATTCTGCTGCTAACTTACTAAAGAGCTCTTCATATTTTTATATATATAACTCTAGTTTATACGCTAATTACAAACATCAATTAAAGCTATTAGAGTGTTTATCCCTAACAATAACTACTGAAGCTATGGTTTGAGCCATGACTTGAGCTATAGCTTGAGCCATTGCTTAAGCCATGACTTCAATAGCTATAGCTCAAGCCGAAGCCATGGCTTTTAAAAGCCAAGTTAAGCCAATCAAGCCATTAATAGCTCTAATTACCACTAATAAATTTTTAAAAAAAATCTAAATAAGATGGGTGGCGCGAATGCGCCACCCATCGCACTATATAGTTACGTATCATTAATTAGATCGATCAACATGTACCCAGTCACATGGTATCGCGCAGCACCACAACACATATGGACAGTGGGATTTCGAAGTAAGAATACTTGATACCTCAACAAAAGAGGTCCAATTATACAAGACATGAAATAAAAAAAGTGTCAATGATCGCAAGAAACAAAAGAAGGAAGAATTTATTCTCACATTACGTGAAAAGTTATATTGTATACAGACAATTGTGCATGATTTGAAATCACACACAAACCATACAGTTATAACAAAAATATAAATGTCCTCGTTTTGAAGTCATTAGGATCATGTATTCTAGGCAAGATGTATTTACTAAACTAGCACAACGTGATAAAACTTTATTTAGAGAAACTAGTCGTAAAATCTCTTTTGCTGACGATTTTTTTCGTTTTTGATGGTTTTACTTTTGATAATTAGAGATTCGAATGATTTTTCATTTTGGAATTGATAAGAAAAATTGGAGAGAATTTTATGGCAGAATTAATGACCGAATGAACGTACTTAAGATTGTAGTAAATGAAATTCTAAAATTAGAATCCAGTAGGTAGATAAAAACTCATCGATATGACCTAGTAAAGTATATATATAGGTGTCAAGGCTGTCTTAAATAAATATGACGACCAGGACCAATTTGAATGTTTCACCTATTTGCATGTACTTTTTGGTTTGTTTTTTAATGTTCCTCCGTCAGTTCGTGTTACCAAAACCTTTTTGGTTTGAATTACATTTTATTTAGAAGTAATCTTCATGTAACAACGTTTATAGGTCATAAAAAAATAACTAGCTGCGAATCTTTGAATCGCATACTCTTAATTCATTATTTCTACTTAATTTATTAAGATTTTAAAACTTTATAAACATGTCAAATAAAGACTTGTTTAAAATTGATTTTGGACAAAAATTCGAATATACTTCTTTTGAGAATAAGACAAAAATCGGTAAAGGAGGGTTTGGTGTTGTATATAAAGCTTATTTAAAAGATATAAAACAAACTGTAGCTCTGAAGAGTTTAGATTATGATAACGAGCATTCATTTAACAATTTTGTTAGAGAAGTATTTATTATTTTTTTGCAGTATACATTATCCATGTTGTTGCAGTATAATCCTTTATACGTATTTTAATATTAAAATTACATTTAGGTTAAATACACTGCTAAAGTTAATCACGATAATATAATACAATTTTTTGGAATTACTCAAGGCATGTAATTTTTATAATATATCGTAAATTCTTATTTATCTAATCATGAGAAGTATCTTAAAAAATTCATAAATTAGATTCTGAAACCAAAACATATTATATGGTTCTTCAGTATGCAAATAGTGGAGACCTTCAATGTTATTTGAATGATCATTTTTCAAAATTAGATTGGTCAACTAAAATTAGAATGGCAAAAGAAATTTCTAGCGGAATTAATTGTTTACATAGTGAAAATATTGTTCATCGGGATCTTGTAAGAGATTTTTTTCATTTCTTTTAATATTATTATTATATACTTATTATTAACATGCTTAATGCATAATATTGATAGCACGATAGGAATATATTAGTACATGATGGTAGAATGATCATTACAGACTTTGGCTTATCAAAATTATTAGATAACAGCACAAAATCTATAACAGGTGGAACATGTGCATATTCTGATCCACAATATCTTCAAAGTCCGTTTATGTATAGACGGAATAAACCTTCAGATATCTATAGTCTCGGTGTTCTTTTTTGGGAGCTGTCAAGCGGTAAACCTCCCTTTAGAGCTTTGAATGATCTAATAGAAATTACACTTCATGTGATCAAAGGTAATCGAGAAAATCCAATTGAAGGAACTCCAATTGATTTCAAAGATCTTTATTGCGCTGCTTGGAGTGTTGATCCAGATATCCGTCCCGAAATTAAGGAAATTTGTAATAGATTAGATCATATGCGGTTAGAACCAGTTTATCAACATATTAATTCGAACACTTTGAACTATAAATTTAAGGGTAATTAATTATTTGATTATTTTAAGGTTTTCGTATTTATCATTAGAACAAAAACCTGATACTATATCTTTATCAATAACTATACGTATATTCATATTATAGGTAGTGCAGAAGCAACTATTGAAACAGCAATTCCATTTTTAAAATTTACATCAATTATAGACGACATAATAAATTTTACTGGAGAAATAGAACAGATCTATCAGTCAGCAGAACATAATAAACATATTAGTAAATCGTTATTTGAAAGAATTGTAGCAATAGAAACATCACTTCGATTATTAAAAGCATATAAAGATGAACACAAAGAATTTTTTAATAAGCAAAATTTTGTAGCAATGCAAAAACTTTCCGATAATATTCAAAAGATGAAAAATTTTATTAGTGAAATAACACAATTAAAAGGATTGCTAAAATATCAAACAAAATCAATTCAAACTATATTTTATGAATTAACAACAGAATTTAACAGTTGTATAAATACGTTAAATTTTATTATTACAGATAGCGCGAAAATTCGTACAGAAAATGAAAAAGAGATTATAGATAATGATCTCGAAGAACTTAATCAGGTGCTTTATTCTTTTATTATTATTATTTATTATAGTAATAGTCAATATATAAATAATATTCTAATAATAATTATTTACTGTAGTATCTTTTCAAAATTGGCGGCGGTATCACTGATGAAAATAATAATATAAGTGAGGCTGTCAATGAAATAAATGTGGTTAAAAAACTCATTTTGGATTCAAAAAATAATCGAGAACAAATCCAACAAGCAGTTGAAGTTCAAAATAAACCGCTTAAACTTGCTGATTTTAGAGAAACTGATGAAACACGTGGAAAAAAAGTTAGAAAATATATTCGACAGGCTGATAACAAAACTGTTGCTTTTAAATACGTAGCTGATGAATCTGATACTACAAACGTTAAGAATGATATTAGAAATCAGGTTGCTATTCTTATGAAGCTTAAGGATTGCCATCAGATAATTCAATTTCATGGTCTTATTTCTGATGGAGAAAGATGCTACTTAGTATCTGAATGGGCTAAACATAGTAATTTACGAGAATTTTATGTGAATTATGGTGGTCCTATTGACGTCAGAAAAAAATTAAATATCGCAGTTGATATTGCTAGAGGATTGAACTTTTTATTGGCCGTAGAGGTACTATTATTTATCTCATATTATATTTGATTTTTTATATTATTAAACTATGTACTTATCCAAAAAGTAATTAAATTTCACAGATAGTTCACCGAGACATTCGGCCAGAGAACATATTGATAACGGCGGACGAAACTGCTAAAATTACCAATTTTTCACTTAGTAGATACTTTAGAGATAAAACAAGGAAATTAGATGTATCATTACAAACTGTTCGTTACTCTGCACCTGAAATGTTATATAGAAACAACAATAAATATAATACTAAATGTGAAGTCTATAGGTGATGATTGTTGTTTAATATTCGTTTTTATATAATCGCTATTTTATAATAACTACTATATATTTTATAACGATTAGTTTTGGTATACTTTTATGGGAGTTAGCGGAACAAAGAATTCCATATGAAGATCTAAATGATATTATGGAAATTAAAAATCGTGTAGATAAGGAAAAATATCGAGAGCCATTTACAGATTATTCTAGTTTACCAAAAGAATATAAAGATATTTCTAGAAAAGGTCTGAATTTTACCATATTTATACTCCATTCGATTTTTTTTCAATATTCCTTTCAATAATTACAGTATATTTCCTTTTTTTTTAGCTGTTGGTGCTGATCCTGAGTTTAGACCTACTTTAACAGAAATGTTTAAAACTCTTAAAAATTTTCTTGAACCATTAAATCCTCCAAACTTACCTAACAAAGTACCTTATAAAACTGATGAAGCTCCGCCTATATCGCATACTCATAATATTCAAGATGATAATCTTCAAGTTACAGAGATTATTAATTTTGCTGAATTTAATTATATGACAATAAAAGAAGCCTCATCGACTCATCGTGTTACTAATGGAAACTTGGAGATGGCATTCAAATGTTTTAATGCGTATGCAAAATTAGGTAATTTAGTTAAATATAAATTATATTGACATTAGTGAATTTATTTATTAACATTGTTATCAAATTTCAGGGGATTTAAAATCGAAATATTTTGTTGGTTATTATCTTTACAAAAAACTAATAAATACACCTATACTGAAAAAGAAAGAGAAAGGCGTGCAGCACAATTATTTAAAGAAGTAGCAGATGCAAGTGATGAAGTACCTGATGCTCAATTAAAATATGGGTTATGTTTATTTCAAGGTACAGGTGTTGAAAGAAATTTTTCAGAAGCTGCAAAATATTTTAAAAAAGCTGCTGATAATGGTCTTGTAGTTGGAATGTATAATATTGGAAATATACTTTATACTGGTCTTACTGGTGTTAAAGATGAAAAATTAGGTATAAAATATATTAGGAAAGCTGCTCAAAATAATTATTCAGATGCTATTGAATTTTGTAAAAAGAACAATATTTCTATCATTTAGATTTAAAATGTTTCTATTTATACAATGATCATAAATTCAAATAAAATAAAAATAATAAGATTGTCTGCTGAAAAGCTATCCATAATTAAGAAACCCCCAGCATGACCACCAAAATCAGTTACATCGCTGTATAAAATCTGATCTGATCTCGTAACCCAGCAGGTCAACGACATTTTTTTTACATTATATATTGATATTATCGTTATAAAACTTAAATATAGCGTTTAAAAAAGAAAAAAGCCAAGTTTATTCGAATGATTTGAACATTTAATATTGGCTTTATAATATGAATATTTGCAAGTTTCGAATTACCAATAAAAAGTATTTTTATCCCGTTTATGCTAGGTTTTTGGAAG